GCTGGACCGAGGGGTGGCAGAACATGCTCTCAGAGGTCTGCCTATCACAGACGTGGGCATACTCGCTGGGCTGCATCCCGCGATCGCTCTACCGCCCGCGGTGAGAGGCCCTCCAATTACCCCGACATATCTATCTATCTATCTATATATCTATCGATCTATCTATCTATCTATATTTGTATCGGAGGTGAGGGGGTGAGATCGAAGTGGAACGGAGAGCCCCCCTACCGGGAAATCGGTTTCGCTTTCGTGTCCGTGCGTGCCGTGCGTGCGGGCGAGGCGAAGCTGCGTGGGCGGGCGAGAAATAAGTCTCCTGTAGCTGAGGCGCGGCCGGACCAAAAGTCTCGGTTCCGGCAACCGGTGCCCCGCGGTGTCCCGCCGTTGTCCCGCTCGGGGGCCTGTGGCGCTCGGTGTCCCGCCAGTGTCCCGTCGGTGTCCCGATGATGATGATGATGATGATGATGATGATGATGATGATGATGATGATGATGATGATGATGATGATGATGATGATGATGATGATGATTTTGATGATGATGATGATGATGTTGATGATGTTGACGATGATGATGATGGTGATGGTGGTGATGATGATGGTGTCCCGGTGATGATGATGATGATGGTGATGATGATGTTGACGATGTTGATGATGATGACGGTGATGGTGGTGATGATGATGGTGCCCCGATGATGACAATGTTGATGATGATGTTGCTGATGATGATGATGGTGTCCCGATGATGATGATGATGATCATGATGATGATCCTGATGATGTTGATGGTGATCAGGTGAGGTGATGATGATGATGATGATGATGATGGTGTCATGATGGTGATGATGAGGTTGATGATGATGCCGTTGGTAATGGTGATGATGATGATGGTGTCCCGATGATGATGATGATGATGATGATGATGATGATGATGATGATGATGATGATGGTTATGATGACGACGATGATGGTGTCCCGATGATGATGATGAGGATGATGATGAGTTGATGATGATGATTTTGATGATGGTGGCCCAATGATTGTGATGATGATGATGTTGATGTTGATGTTGATGATGGTGTCCCGATGATGCTGATGATGATGCTACTGATGATGATGATGATGATAATGATGGTGACGATGATGATGGTGTTCCGATGATGCTGATGTTGATGATGATGATGTTGCGAATGATGAAGATGAGTGTGCCCCGATGATGATGACTTTGATGATGTTGTTACTGATCACGATGATGAAATGATGACGATGATGGTGGTTTTCCGATGATGATGATGATTGTGTCCCGATGCTGATGATGTTGATGATGATGATGATGGTGGCGATGATGGTGTCCCGATGATGATGGTGATGATGATGTTGATGATGATGGTGATGATGATGATGGTGTCCCGATGATGCTGGTCATGATGATGTTGATGACGTTGATGACGATGATGTTGATGATGATGACGTTGATTCTGATATCGATTGCGATATCGACAGTGGGATCGATAGTTGGACCGAATGTGAGATCGATTGTGATATTGATAGTGAGATCACGTGTGAGATCGATCGTCAGATCCGGGCGAGGGGAAGCTGTGTGGGCGCGCGAGAGGAATGAACCCGCCGCTGCTAGGGCGAAATCAAGACAAATGATTCTCCCCCGCCGGCCCGTCCGGCGGTGGCCCTAGCGGTGTCCCGCGGTGTCCCGTGGTGTCCCGTGGTGTCCCGTGGAGTCCGCCGTTGCTGAGGCGAAGTTAAGACAAATGATTCCCCCGTCCGTCCGTCCGGCGGTGGCCCTAGCGGTGTCCCGCGGTGTCCCGTGGTGTCCCGTGGTGTCCGCCGTTGCTGAGGCGAAGCCAAGACAAATGATTCCCCCGTCCGTCCGTCCGGCGGTGGCCCTAGCGGTGTCCCGCGATGTCCCGTGGTGTCTCGTGGTGTCCCGTGGTGTCCCGCGGTGTCCCGTGGTGTCCCGTGGTGTCCCGTTGAATGAGATCGATCGTGAGATCGATAGTGAGATCGATAGTGAGATCGATGTTGTGCCCCGAGGTGTCCCATGTTGCCCGTGGTGTCCCAAAATGCGAGATCGACCGTGAGATCGACAGGTGTCCCGTGGTGTCCCGTTGAGTGAGATCGATACTGAGATCGATAGGGAGATCGATAGTGAGATCGATGTGGTGTCACGCGGTGTCCCGTGGTGTCCCGTTGAGTGAGATCGATAGTGAGATCGATAGTGAGACCGATAGTGAGATCGAGAGGTGTCCCGCGGTGTCCCGTGGTGGACCGTGATGGCCCGTGGTGTCCCGTGGTGCCCCAAAAAGTGAGATCGATAGTGAGATCGATAATGAGATCGTCAAGTGTCCCGTGGTGTCCTGTGGTGTCCCGTTGAGTGAGATCGATAGTGAGATCGATTGATTCAGATGTTGGTTCCCCCCCCTCTCCCCCCCCACAACCTCCTTATCACCCGAAGGGTGGTCGTATAGGTATCGGAGGTTGAGGGGTGAGATCGCAGTGGAACGGAGACACTCGACCGGGAAATCTTTACGTTTCGTTCGTGTCGTGCGTGCGGGCGAGGCGAAGCTGCGTGGGCGCGCGAGAGGAATGAACCCGCCGTTGCTAAGGCGAAGTCAAGACAAATGATTCTCCCCCGCCCGCCCGTCCGGCGGTGGCCCTAGCGGTGTCCCGCGGTGTCCCGTGGTGTCCCGTGGTGTCCCGTGGTGTCCGCCGTTGCTAGGGCGAAGTCAAGACAAATGATTCTCCCCCGTTCGTCCGTCCGGCGGTGGCCCTAGCGGTGTCCCGCGGTGTCCCGTGGTGTCACGAGGTGTCCCGTGGTGTCCCGCGGTGTCCCGTGGTGTCCCGTGGTGTCCCGTTGAATGAGATCGATCGTGAGATCGATAGTGAGATCGATAGTGAGATCGATGTTCTGCCCCGAGGTATCCCGTGGATTTCCGTGGTGCCCCAGAAAAGTGAGATCGATAGTGAGATCGACAAGTTTCCCGTGGTGGCCCGTGGTGTCCCGTTGGGTGAGATCGGTAGTGAGATCGATAATTAGGGAGATTGATAGTGAAATCGATGCGGTGTCACGTGGTGCCCCGTGGTGTCCCAAAATGTGAGATCAATCGTGAGACCGATCGCGAGACCGATAATGAGATCGAGAGGTGTCTCGTGGTGTCCCGTGGTGTCCCGTGGTGTCCCGTGGTGTCGCGTTGAGTGAGATAGAAAGTGAGATCGATAAAGAGATCGACAAGTGTCCCGAGGTGTCCTGTGGTGTCCCGTTCAGTGAGATCGATAGTGAGATCGATTGAGTCAGAGGTTGGTTCCCCCTTCTCCCTTCCCCATAACCTCCTTATCATCCGAAGGGTAGTCGTATAGGTATCGGAGGTTGGGGGGTGAAGTCGAAGTGGAACGGAGACACCCGACCGGGAAATCGTTTCGTTTCGTTCGCGTCGTGCGTGGCGGCGAGGCGAAGCTGCGTGGGCGCGCGAGAGGAATGAACCCGCCGTTGCTAAGGCGAAGTCAAGACAAATGATGCTCCCCCGCCCACCCGTCCGGCGGTGGCCACCCGTGTCCCGCGGTGTCCCACGGTGTCCCGTGGTGTCCCGTGGTGTCCCGTGGTGTCCGCCGTTGCTAGGGCGAAGTCAAGACAAATGATTCTCCCCCGTCCGGCGGTGGCTCGCGGTGTCCCGCTGTGTCCCGTGGTGTCCCGTGGTGTCCGCCATTGCCAGGGCGAAGTCAAGACAAATGATTCTCCCCCGCCCACCCGTCCGTCCGTCCGTCTGGCGGTGGCTCGCGGTGTCCCGCGGTGTCCCGTGGTGTCCCGTGGTGTCCCATGGTGTCTTGTTGAATGAGATCGATATTGAGATCGATATTGAGGTCGATAGCGAGATCGATGTGGTGCCCCGAGGTGTCCCGTGGTGTTCCGTTGAGTGAGATCGATAGTGAGATCGATACTGAGATCGAGAGGTGTCCCGTGGTGCCCTGTTGAGTGAGATCGATCGAGAGATCGATAGTGCTGAGATCGATACGCGCCGGTCGTTGAGAGTATGTGTTTCGGGATTTCCAGATTCCAATGTACTTCAAGCGCCTTCCTGCTTCAAGAATGGACACGTCTTTGTTGTGTCCTGTAATTCTCTGGGGGCCTGGACCCAATCAACTTAATCCGCCTTCCTACTTCATTTTTTTACCTACTTCTTCCGACCGACGTGTAGAGAGATCGATGTGGTGCCCCGAGGTGTCCCGTGGTGTCCCGTTGAGTAGTTCGATAGTGAGATCGATACTGAGATCGACAGGTGTCCCGTGGTGTCCCGTGGTGTCCCATTGAGTGAGATCGATAGTCAGATCGATAGTGGCGAGATCGATAGAGAGATCGATGTGGTGTCCCGAGGTGTCCCGTGGTGTCCTATGGTGTCCCGTTGAGTGTGATCGATAGTGAGATCGATAGAGGGACCGGTAGTGAGAACGAGAGGTGTCCCGCGGTGTCCCGTGGTGTCTCGTGGTGGCCCGTGGTGTCCCGTAGTGTCCCGTTGAGTGAGATCGATAGTGAGATCGACAAGTGTCCCGCGTTGTCCCGTGGTGTCCCGTGGTGTCGTGTTGAGTGAGATCGATAGTGAGATCGATTGAGTCAGATGTTGGTTGTCCCCCCTCTCCCACCCACAACCTCCTTATCACCCGAAGGGTGGTCGTATAGGTAAGCTTGAACATCACCATTGGAGGTCTCCTGTCACTGCAACGAGTCTGTAGGTTCCCTGGAGCATTCAATTCGTAGGCATGCCGTGTGCCCGTCAAGATAGAGGTTGCAAGGCCTTCGTTCTTCGCGGGCGTTCTACTCTGCACAGTCTGGGGCTAGACCGCGTTCGTCGTCGATTTCAGACCGTACCCGGGAGAGAAGAGGAAGACGAGGAGGTGGAGGAGGGTAAGGAGAAAACGGCGAAAGTAGGAGGAGGAGGAGGACACAGTCTCTCAGCACCCATGGGGGGGATGCGCGGCCCCGACCTCGTTGGCTCGCCATGGTCGCATTCTGCGTCGACTCGCTCTCCTTGCCGTGCAAGGCTCGGGACGGCGACGGAGACACGCCCCTGCTTGTGGCGGTCTACGAGGGGCACGCGAGCGTCGTCGAGTGGCTGCTGGACCACGGCAGCACCGCCGACGAGAGCAACAACGACGGGGTGTCCGTGGTGCTCGCTGCCGAGGCATGCGGCCATGCTGACGTCCGCAGGCTGCTGGACAGGAGGCTTGCCGGAGGCCTGGGGCTTCCGCCCCTGGGGGGCCGTTCCTCCCCTCCTCCTCCTCCTCCTCCTCCTCCTCCTCCTCCTCCTCCTCTCCTCCTCCTCTCCTCCCTTTCCTTCTCCTCCTCCTCTCCTCCTCCTCTCCTCCTCCTCTCCTCCTCCCCTCCTCTCCTCTTTCCTCCCTCCTCCTCCTCCCTTCCTCCCCTTCCCTTCTCCCTTCTCCTCCTCCTCCTCTTCTCTCCTTCTCCTTACTCCACCTCCTCCGCTCGTTTGTCATCCTCCTCTCTACTCCTCCTCCTTTTGTTCCTTTCCTCCTCTCCCTCTTCCTGCTCCTCCTCCTCCTCTTCCTCCTCCTCCTCCTCCTGTTCCTCCTCCCTTCTCCTCCCTTCTTCTCCTCCTCCTCCCTCCTCCTCCTCCTCCTTCTCCTCCCCTCCTCCTCCTCCTTCTCCTCCTTCTCCTCCCCTCCTCCTCCCTCCTCCCTCCTCCTTCCTCCTCTCCTCTCCTCCTCCTAATCCTCCTCCTCCTCCTCCTCCTCCTCTTCCTCTTCCTCATTCTATCCTCCTGCTCCCCCCCTCTTCCGCCTTCTCCTTGTCCTCGTTGTCCTCCTCCTCCTCCTCATTATCATCCCCCTCTTCCTCCTTTTCCTCGTCCTCGTTGTCCTCCTCCTCCTCCTCCTCCTCCTCCTCCTCCTCCTTTTCGTCCTCCTCCTCCAGGCATCTGGTTCATGGGCCCAAGCTGGCGCCCGTTTCAAACCTGACCCACGACGCTGTGTCGCCCGTTGCGGGCCACGGTGCATCACGCGACATGGATGGCGCCTGCGCCGCATTGCCCTGCGAGATAGGCGCCGCCTCGCCGTCCCGTTCGGCTCGCAGAAGAAGGAGAGCGGCGGTGGTGGCGATCCGCCACGCGCAGTGTGCAGCTTGCGCGCTGTCCTCCTCGCTCGGGCTGCAGCTGCCCGCGGAGTGGGTGGAGGCCGACGCGGGCCAGGGATACTCGCCTGGAGTGTGGCACACCCGTGCTGCCGGCACGCTGCATTGTGACGTGGTTGCTTGGGCAGCCAGAGCATTCGCAGATAGTGCCGCGGCGGGTTGTCACATCGTCCCTCCTACTCCGTGGCGACGACGCGGAGCCCCGAGGACCAGGGCAGGATGTTCGACACCTACGGCGCAGTGGTGAGCACCAGCGGCACCGAGGCGAAGGTGAGCTTCAACGACTTCCCGCTGGCCGACGAGGGCCAGCAGAGCAGGACGGGCAACCAGGACAGCACCCAGAACGCCTACGAGACGGAGGTGAATCCGGGCGACGTGCTGCAGATCTTGGCGCGGTGGGGGGGCGCACAAACAACCCCCAATACGCGGTGGCCGTGGACCAGGGCAGGATGCTCGACACCGTCGGCACGGAGCTGAACGCCTACGGCAACTTGGAGGCCCACGGGGCGCAGGTGAGCATCGGAGACAGCCCGCTAGTCACTAGCAGCGGGGGCCAGCAGAGCTTCGAGGGCTACCAGGGCAGCACCCGCCCCACTTATCTGACAGAGGTGAGCAAGAGCGACGTGCTGCAGGACTTGGCGCGGTGGGGAGCTTCATCAACAACCCCCAACTACGCGGGACCCGTGGGCCAGGGTGGGATGCTCGACGCCTTCGGCAAGGAGCCGAGTGCCCGCGGCAACCAGGAGGCCGACGGGGCGCAGGTGAGCATCGACAACAGCCCCCTGGTCGACGGAGGCCAGCAGAGCTTCAAGGGCTACCAGGGCAGTGTCCACTGCACCTACCTGACGGAGGTGTGCGAGGGTGACGCGCTGCAGGACCTGGCGCGGTGGGGGGCCGCACAAACAACCCCCAGGGACACCGGAGCGGTCTTGGACGGCAAGGCGACCGACATCGGCGCGCACGAGGCGACCGCAGGCGAGCCGCGCACAGGCTTGCAATGGCGGCGTGCGCGGCATAAGATAGCGGCCGAGTGGATATTCGAGATCGCGTTGGCGGCGGGCTGGGCAGAGCAGGGAAGCAGTGGTCTGCGCGCCCAGCCGTTCAACCGCGCGCTGGCCACAACCGCGGGGCCGCATACATAGGGACACTCGGCGCCCATGTGGGGCGAAGGATTCTTCGTGGACGACATGTGCCCGTTTGGGCACAGGCATTTCGCCGACGGCTCGCTGGTCGTCGACGACGTCCTTCACAGGGAAATGCAACTCGAGCCGACCAGAGCGACCTGGCGCTCGATCGCGAGACGGCGCGCAGGGCCGCAGACGAAGGAGTGCGCAGAGCAGGCCGAGGAGGAGGAGGCCACGAAGTTCAGCGCGCAGGGCCGCTGATCGGGCGCGCGGTGGCGCCCCTCCCTTCTCCCCTGCTTGTGCTTCCCTCTTGTAGCTGGCACGTTCGACGTCTATCGGAGGAGCGCAAGTCCTCCTCATCGTCTTCCTCTTTCCCCCGTCTCCTCCCGTCTTCTCCTCCCCCTCCTCCTCCTGCTCCTCCTCCTCCTGCTCCTCCTCCTTCTCCTCCTCCTCCACCTCCCTCCTCCTCCTCCTCCTCCTCTCCTCTCCTCCTCCTCCTGCTCTCCTCCTATCCTCCTCCTGCTCCTCCTCCTCCTCCTCCTCCTCCTCCTCCTCCTCTCCTCCTCCTCCACCTCCCCCTCCTCCTCCTCCTCCTCCTCCTCTTCTTCTGCTCCTTCTCTTCCTTCTCCTCCTGCTCCTCCTCTTCCCCTTCCTCCTCCGCCTCCTCCTCCTCCTCCGTGTCCTGCTCCTTCTCGTCCTTTTCCTCTCCTCCTTCTCCTCCTCCTCTCTCCTCTTCCTCCTCCTCCTCCTCCTCCTCCTCCTCCTCCCTCCTCCTCCTCCTCCTCCCCCTCCTCCTTCTCCTCTCCTCCCTCCTCCTCCTCCTCCTGATGCTCCTCCTCCTCCTCCTCCTCCTCCTCCTTCCTCCACCTCCTCCTCCCTCTCCTCCTCCTCCTCCTCCTCCCCCTCCTGCTGCTCCTCCTCCCTCCTCCTCCTCCCTCCTCCTCCTCCTCCCCTCCCCTCCTCCTCGTCCTCCTCCTCCTGCTCCTCCTCCTTCTCCTCCTCCTCCTCCTGTTCCTTCCCCTCCTCCACCTCCTACTCCTCCTCCTCCTCCTCCTCCTTTGCGCAACCGTCCTGCTTGCCCATCCCCGCCGTCCCCCACCCCCGGGGTCTCTTGCGCGCGAGGGGCCGCATTCCCCGCGCCGTCGCACAGCAGGCACGTCGGCTAAGAAATCGGCCTGCCAGCAGCTGCCCCGCGGAAGTGCTCCGTCCCCCAATGGCCCACGGGGCTCGCAGGCGCCTTGGGGCACACCGAGGACCGCCAGGCGTCGACGAAGAGTGCGCCCCAAGATTTCCAGTGACGAGACTTCTTTTCGTTCGTGTCGAACGTGTGGTTACGGAGAGGGGACTCGCCGCAGGCCTGGAGAAGCTCTGGCTGGACGAAGTGGCCCGGCGCCCGCAGCTCATCCTCAATTTCCTGGAGCGCGGCGCGCCCGCCGCGGGAGAGCCGGGCGCTCCCTGCGCGAGCGCAGGCAGCGGCGACGTCGACATGGCACGGTGATCGTCTCCCCCGACGCGCTGGAGGCCGTCGCTGCTGCCATCGTCCCCAAACATGCTCGCGCCAGGAAAAGTCAGAGCAAAAAAGGTGTTGGCCGCTTTCGGCCTCCAGGGGCCCTCGCCAAGCCCCAGGACCGTCAAGCAACGGCTTGGGATGAAACACTGAACCCACGACACAAAACAAAACGGCCCCGCATTCAAAGCATCAAGGGCGTCGCAGATCTGGGTCACCACAGCCGCCGAGAGCGTTGCTGGCATCCCCAGGTCTGCGTCGATCGGAGTTGTTGAATCCGGTCTTTTTTCCTCGATTGGAAAGGGTCGGGACCTTTCTGGGGCTGCGCATTGGAAAAATCGCATAGTCGGACGTTTAGGATCGTCATCACAGTCGCCGAGAGAGCTGCTGGGGCATCTGGTGTCATCAGGCCTGCCCGCATGATGAGCCCCATCGATGCGATGGTACATGTTGTGTGTGTGTGTGTTTGTGTTTGAGTGTGCGTTTGTGTGCGCGTGTGCGTGTGCGTGTGCGTATGTGTGTGTGTGTGGTTATGTGTGTGTGTGTGGGTGCGTGCGTGCGTGCGCGCGTGCGTGCGTGCGTGTGTGTGTGTGTGTGTGTGAGTGTGAGTATGTGTAGGTGTGTTGGTGTGGGTATGGGTGTGCGCGTGTGCATGCGTGCGTGCGTGCGTGCACGTGTGTGTGTGTGTTTGAGTGAGTGCGTGTGTGTGTGGTGTGTGGTGTGTCATATGTGTGAGTGGTGTGTGGTGTCTGTGGTGTCTGTGGTGTCTGTGGTGTCTGTGGTGTCTGTGGTGTCTGTGGTGTCTGTGGTGTCTGTGGTGTGTGGTGTGTGGTAGCGGTGTGTAGTGTGTTGTGTGCTGTGAGTTGTGTGTTGAGTGTTGTGCGTTGTGCGGTGTGTGTTGTGCGTTGTGTGTTGTGTGTTGTGTGTTGTGTGCTGTGTGCTGTGTGCTGTGTGCTGTGTGCTGTGTGCTGTGTGCTGTGTGCTGTGTGCTGTGTGCTGTGTGCTGTGTGTTGTGTGTTGTGTGTTGTGTGTTGTGCGTTGTGCGTTGTGTGTTGTGTGCTGCGTGTTGTGTGTTGTGAGTTGTGTATTGTGTGTTGGTGTGTTTTGGTGTGTGTTGTGTGTTGGTGTGTGTTGGTGTGAGTTGGTGTGTGCTGGTGTTTGTTGGTGTGTGTGACGGTGTGTGTGTGTGTGACAGTGCGTGTGACGGTGTGTGTGACGGTGTGTGTGTGTGACGGTGTGTGTGACGGTGTGTGTGTGTGTGACGGTGTGTGTGACGGTGTGTGTGTGTGTGACGGTGTGTGTGACGCTGTGTGTGACGGTGTGTGTGACGGTGTGTGTGTGTGTGTTGGTGTGTGTTGGTGTGTGTGTGTTGGTGTGTGTTGGTGTGAGTTGGTGTGTGTTGGTGTGTGTTGGTGTGTGTTGGTGTGTGTTGGTGTGGGTTGGTGTGTGTTGGTGTGTGCTTGTGTGTGTGTTGGTGTGTGTTGGTGTGTGTTGTTGTGTGTTGGTGTGTGTTGGTGTGTGGTGGTGTGTGTTGGTGTTTGTTGGTGTGTGTTGGCTCGCGTTTGTGTGTGATGTGAATGTGTGAATGTGAATGTGTGAATGTGTGAATGTGTGTGTGAGTGTGAGATGTGAATGTGTGAACGTGTGTGTGTGTGTCTGTCTGTGTCTGTGTCTCTGTGTCTCTGTGTGTCTGTGTGTTTGACTGTCTGTGTGTCTGTGTGTCTGTGTGTCGTTGTCTCTCTGTCTCTGTGTCTCTGTGTCTCTGTGTCTCTGTGTCTCTGTGTCTCTGTGTCTCTGTGTCTCTGTGCCTCTGTGTCTCTGTGTCTCTGTGTCTCTGTGTCTCTGTGTCTCTGTGTCTCTCTGTCTTTGTGTCTCTGTGTCTCTGTGTGTCAGTGTGTCTGTGTCTGTGTCTCTGTGTGTCTGTGTGTCTCTGTGTCTGTGTGTCTGTGTGTCTGTGTGTGTCTGTGTGTGCCTCTGTGTCTGTGTGCCTGTGTGTCTGTGTGTCTGTGTGTCTGTGGGTGCGTGTGCGTGTGGGCGTGCGCGTGCGCCTGCGCCTTCTCGTGTGCGTGTGGGTGTGTGTGTGGTGTGCCGGTTTTGTTTGTTGTTTCTCTCTCTCTCTCTCTTCCTATCTCTGCTGTCCTCCTCTTCTCCTTGCCTACCTCTGGTCCTCGGTCATTGATTCATCCCTCCCCTCGTCTCTTCGCCATTCCGCACCCCTCGCTCCAATCGTTCCCTCATCTCCTCCCCTCGTCGTGTTCGCTAGCTCTGATGTCAACAAATGCCTTTGGTCGCAAACACCATTCTCGCAAACACCACATTCTCATTATCATTCTAGCCATTGGTGGTGTCCGCTGCCCCTACTGGCTAACGACTCCGAACACCACGATTCAAAACACGCGATTTAGAGCAGAAAGCGTCATATCAGCATGTCGACAAGATCAAAAGAGTCATGGAGCTAACAGTCGGCTACGCATCAGCGTCGAATTCGAAACGTGATCTGTTGTGGGAGCCCTCGTCAGACAAGGAATCCTCCGGAGTCTGACACCTCTTGGGCACAGTCCTTGACGAACGCCCCCACCGTAGAGTCGGGCCGCTGAAGGAGGGACCTTTTTTCGTGTGGGGGGGGGCTCAATGCCCCTCCATTGTTTCACCGGTTCTCTTGGCTACCACTTCGCAGGCCGCCCCGCTCGCGGATTGGCTCCCCCTGTCCACCCGGGCAGCGGGGACCCTTCGCGTGCCACCCGCTGGCTGGACGGCAGCGCGCTGTCCCCGCAGCGTGTGGCGCAGCGCGACGCCGCCGCTGCTGCCCGGCGCCGACGCCCCGCCCGTGGGTCTCCCGCAAGCGGTTGTCGTCCTCCCTCTTCGCTTCTGCCCTCCCCGTGCGCTCTCCCTCCGTCCGCGCGCCGCCGTGGCGCCGGGCGGCTGCCTGCCACCGCCCCGCCGGGGCCCAGGGCTTGGTCTGGCCGCCCGCCGCCTCCGCCGGCCCGGCATCCTGCTGGGCACGCCCCTCCCTGGCGTTGTGCCTCTCTCCGGGGCCCCACCTGGGGAACGCGCAGCCACCGCTTGGTGACTCAGGCCCCTGACTGCATCACACACTTGACCCGCTGGCCTCGATCTGGTACCTGCACTGCGCCCCGCCGCCGCAGTAACCCCGGCGCAGCAGTTGCCGCAGTCCCCGCCGGCGGGGCCGGCCGCGCCACCCGCTCCGGGCGTGACCCGTCTCCCTGAGCGGCCCTCGCCCCGTTCTTCTCCCCCTTCAGCCGCCCGCCCTCCCTTGTTTCCCGTTCTCGTGCATGGTGGCACACTTCGCTACAGCGGTGCCCCCTTTGCTTAGCCGCCGACGCAAAAAGTGTCACAGGTTGTATTAGGTGTCCCTTTTGTTTCCGATGGGAATTCGAAGCTCAACGTTCCCTACCTAGGCTCTGCCTAGAAGGGTTCTTACTGTCTATGCTTAAAGGGCCGGGCAGTGGAAAACGCCCCGGGCGGTTCCCCCGGCATCCGCCCCGCGGTTCCCCCAGGTGCGTCTCCTTAGCTTAGCGTTGCTTATCTCACCTTAGCTTAACATCTTAGCTTAGCTTAGTTTCAGCAAAAGCGAAAACAAACGCAAACACAAAAGCAAAAGCAAAGGCAAGGCAATGCAAAGCAAAAACAAAACCACTGCGAAAGTGTAGATGTATAGGTAAAGGTAGGTGTAGGCGTATATGTTGATGTAGATGTAGATGTAGGTGTAGATGTAGGTGTAGGTGTAGATGTAGATGTAGATGTAGATGTAGATGTAGATGTAGATGTAGATGTAGATGTAGATGTAGATGTAGATGTAGATGTAGATGTAGATGTAGATGTGAGTTTCGCTGTTGATGTTGATGTGGTTGTAGATGCAGGTGTAGATGTTGGTGTAGCTGTCGGTTTAGGTATAGATGATCCTCTGCTCCAACTCCTAGGTAGGCCGCACTGGGAGAATTTGAAAAAAAAGGACCCTGTTCTTGATCCAGGGTTCCTTCTGACAGCGGCCCGACTGTACACGGCGCAGCCACGCTGCCAGCCGCTCGGCCGGCCAGTCGCCGCCATCGCCCGAGCAGTGGCGAAGCGTCTTGGCTTGCCTATAGGCCCACCAAGAAATATTATAAGAACCGGGTTGTGTGGTCAGCACGAAATGTGAGTATAACATTTATGGTTGAGGCTGTCTTGTGTTCAACACATCGGGTTTCTCTTCTGAGAACATTGTTCTTGCTTTTAGAACACGCTTGGGTTCTACGAAGATTTTGTGGTAGGCCTGTAGGAATGCCAGGGCGGTCGGTCCCTGGTCAAATCGCCAACGCCGTCCGCAGCCAGCTCGGCCGGGGCCGCCTCGGCGCACGCGGGGACGGCGGGCGCGCGCCGCGCGCGCCCAACAATATTTCACCCTTGGGGAAGACCCACGCCCACAGCTGCCGGAGCCTCGCCTTGGATCTTTCCCAGGACCCTCCGCGCAGCGGGAAAACACGACGGGCGGCTCTTCGCTATTGTCGGCCACCAGGGGCCCTTGCTCGGCCCCAGGACCGTGCAACCAGAACGACTCAGGACGAAAAGCCGGTCCCGGGGGATGGGTCCCGTTGCGAGAAAATCGCGATGTCGGGGGATTTGGGTTGGGGGCCCTAGTCTCAGAGGTGCAAGAAGTCATGGAAATGATCACGTGCCATGACTTCCGGGAGTGAGAGGATTTACAGGATGTCTTCATGTCCCACACGGGCTCCAGAAACGAGGGCCGCCAGACACGCCAGACTTCCTGGAACGCATCCTGGGACAATCGTATCCTGACGCCAGTCTTGTCCTATGTGGTCGCCACGAAGCGGAGGAAGCACACGGGCCCTGAGGGAAGCGGGCTCTGCTGAGGATGTTTCGCCGTTTCTGGCTTGCCTGGGCCATCCACAGGCCCTGGGGATGTCTACCAACCAGACACGATCGGGGGTTCCCTTCAGGCCTCGTGGAGGCTATCTTGAGCCATGTTCGGCTAGAGGTTGCCGGAGGCTATCCTGAGCCAGGCTCTGCTATCTTGGACCATCTTGAGGCTGTCTTGAGGCCTCTTGGAGGTCTGCTGGAGGATACCCTGATCCATGCTCGACCTCAGGACCCAGAACGTCTAGACACGATCCGTACTGAAAAACATGGTTCTGAGGGAAGGCCCCGTGGTCCAGGATCCAGGACCTGTCTCTTTCAGGACCCGTTTGTGTCAGGCCTATCTCAGCCCACCCCCAGTGGCGCGAAGATCATCGCGCTTCGCGCATGGTGGCTCGGGTGCGGAGGCGCCTTTCTCTAGGGCGACGGCCCGAGGCTGCGAAGAGAACGGCGCACCGCGGCGCGCGAGGCGCGCAGTCGGGTGACCCAGGAATCGGTGGACGTGGACACTCTCTCTCTCCCGCCCCTTCAGGGGCGGGCAGGCGTCCATGATCACCACTCCTCGGGAGGTCGTCGAGATCTCACTTGGCATCGCTCGGACGTGTGCCTTTTCTCTCGGCGAGAACCGTCGAGGACCAGCCTGGACCCTCGAGCAAAAAAAGCACGCACGAAACCGAACAAATGCACGGGAAAGGGACGTCCGAGCGATGGCGAGCTCAGGGCACGACTCCGAGGGGGTGGACCCGGGCACCGCAGGTGTTCGCGCCGTGCCGGCTTGGCGGAGCCCCCCCGGCGCTGGCGCTCGGGGTGGAACGCTGCCAGCGGCCCGAGAGCGGCCTCGATCGCTCAAGGCTAAAAGAGGAGGAGGAGGAGGAGGAGGAGGAGGAGGAGGAGGACGAGGACGAGGAGGAGGAGGAGGAGGAG